CTCTCCACAATCTATGTTCTGTCCCTAAAGGGTTGTAAGATAGCCTAGTCAGAGGCAATTAAAGAGTCATTCCCCTATAGAATCAGATAATTCCGGGGGCTGGGGGGCGATGGAGAGGGTCTTCTGGGCCATGCCCAGGATTCCGCTACAAAGATCTGCAGTAGTCTCTATGCCCATTTCCAAGTCTTTGACATTTTTTTCACATTTTCTTTTCTGGGACAGGGATGACGGATGTTTAAGCACCTGTTCTTTAAATGGGGGCAGGGAGGTTAGGGACAGGGATTCACAGAGCTCAGAAGAATCACATCAAACCCTTTCAGTAACCTCCACTATCTCAGGTGCCACTTTCCATGTCAAGGTCTCGTGATCTTTTAACATAGATGAGCTCCCAGCCAGTTTCCCTGGTTTTCATTGACTGATTTCTTCCAGTGCTTCCAAAACTTTAATGTGCATTTGAATCACTTGGAGTAGGAGATTCTGAATCAGGAAGCCTGAGTCAGGGTGAGTCTGCATTTTCAAGGAGCTCCCAAATGAGGCTCAAGCTTAGTCTTTGAATGGCGAAGATTTATCCCCTATGCAGTTTTTGAAGTGCCTCCTATGTCACGGGTGCTCAATAAACATGGAAGAGAGGGACAGAGAAGGAGGTTGATGAAGTCTGAAGGAGCCAGAAACAAAATGAGATGGGTATGGGATTCAGGTAGTAACAGTAAAGGGATAACAGTCATTACAATATTATTTATTCCTCACAACACTAAAAACAATCATTATCTTCCCAGAATTAAAAATGCTTTCAAAAAGATTTTTGAGTCATTTGATAAGCTGGTTAGCGCCTTGCTGCAGAAGGCTCTGCTTCTCTGTGATTATCTGACATCATTCTTAGCTTTCATTGCCAGTGGCGATGACCTCAGAGGCCTGAAGGATAAAAGGACCAGCTAGCCTAAGTGCCAGAGAACATTTATCTCTGGGAGACAATGTGAAAACACTCCTTAACATGAAATTAAAATGTTTATTACTGGGGCGCCTGGGTGGCTCAGTCAGTTCAGCGTGTGGCTTAGGCTCAGGTCATGATCTCACAGTTTCAGATTTCGAGCCCCGCATCTGACTCTGCAATGACAGTGCTCGCTCTCACTCGCTTGCTCTCTGTCTCTCTCTCTCAAAATAAATAAGCTTTAAAAAATGTTGATTACTAACTGATGTTTCCGAACTTCTGACCATTGAATTTGTGGCTCTCTAGCGAGAATCACTGCAAGTCTATTAGAAATAGTGTAACCAAATATAGATAAATTGCCAAGCGAAAAACTCAGAGTGACCAGAAGATTGCAGTATGTTTTAGAAGTTTCATTCTCACGTTAGCCCTTCAAAACTGGAGGCAGATCCATAAGCCAACCATGGACTATATAGAGTGACTGATGTTTTAGTAGAAGGATATGGAGGGAATTGTGAAAACGTAGCACATGGACGCCCCAGTTCATGGTAGAGTTACAGAAAAGCTGCTTTGATGAAAGACACTGAGGCTGAATCTTGAGGGAAACGTAACAGTTATCCAGGTGTCCAGAAACGTGAAGGCTCCTGGAATGAGCACACAGAAAACGGAAAGGCAGGGAGGCGTGGCCATGGTGCTCACCAAAGAGGAGAATGGTAAGGGAACGGGGGATGAAGGGGAAAATGCAAATCAAGAAAAGCCATGGAGCAGACATGTGCGGTAACCCAGGTGTGACGTGGTAAGGACCCTGGTTAGAAAACACTGCACAATTTTTAAGGAGCAAATGGTCCATATTCGCCCGTTAATAACGGCAGTTTTCCCAGCTCTTGCTGTGGAAAAAGGCACGTCTGCCCATTCTAGTTTCTAAACTGCACCCGTGTTCAGAATTATGCCTGAGCATGTTCACAGGAAGTATTTGGAATTTTTGTAAATGCATCTTTGATGTGATTTTTATGAGCAGTGTTAATTTCTTTTCACATGAATAGCTTTAATAATGCTGCCGTCTAAATCCTGTTTAAATTAGTTTATATTGTTTTCTGTTTTCTCAGTGATCTTTCCACTGAATCCAAAATTGAACTTACAGTTAGATATTGAAAATGACCGCTCCCAATACACTTCTGTAGCCATTCAGAGTGAGTTGCTGAGTCAGTCTTAATTAATATGAAGTCACTTCTTACGTAGCAACAGATATTGACCGAACTTACTGATTGTGCCTTAACTAATGTTTTCACATTTAATTTGCATGTCAGTACATCAATTATATATTGGCCTGGAAGTTTCAGAAAGTTCAGAAATGAGGATGAAATTGGGAGTTCTCGAAACTACATACATCTTTTAAGCTAAGCTAGTGGAATTTTGCGTGCTATTGACTTGTGCTACATATTTTTTAACACTTGTTAAAATGTGAGCAAGTCTCTTCCCTGCTTACTTTTTAAATTGTATATTTTCAATTGCCCAGTCCTAAAACTGCTGTTTCTCTTTTTGAAAACTATCAATTAACTCTGATCTGCTGGTGAACTTATGCCCTCCGTCCTAGACAGGAAGAAAAATAAAGTTTGGTTTTCAGGTCATTTGAGCAAACACACATTTTTAAATTTTAAGTGTGTTCTCCCTGACAGTAAATTAGTGTATTTATGAACTGAGTTACCACAAGCAAGAGAAGGAAGAACAACCAGTAACAGGAGGGAAAGATGGATGGAACGGGGATGTTCTATCTCCTTGTAAGGTTGACAACAAAATCTTAGAGGGTTTTTTTTCTCCCCCTCTGTGTTATATACAGATAGAAGTCCCAGGAAAGGCGAAAAATGGTACATGAAGTCAGTGTTTTCTTTTTTGTTGTTATTTTTTAAGAGGGGAGGAAAAAAAGACTTCTTATAAGTGTTAGGTTTATTCATGCTGTCTTTTGGGAGGTCCATTCTCCTAACATCTATTGGCGGGGAGAGAGGTAGCGAGTATGCGCGGGAGGCAAAATTTATTCTGACTGTAACGGTCACAGTGGGCCTCTCACAAACATAATGCTAAATTATGGGCCTCTCCATGGGCTGAACGTAATGTTAAGTTGTATGATGGATTTTATCTTACACAAGCCGCTCCGGTCCATGAAATGAGATAAGAAACCACTGCAGCTGGAGTTCACCGAGGGTTGAGCTCAGCCTGAAATTCTGGAGTTAACAAAATTGGATGAGCCAGCTGTGAGACTGCACGCGTGTGTTCTGTGCCTGTGCCTGGAGATTTTCGAGGAAGGGCGTCTTTCCCTCGCAGGGTGCCCAGTGGGCCAGTTCTCTCCTCTGGCCCAAGTGTGAGGGCAGAGGGGGGCAGGTTTGCCCTGAAAAAAGGCTTTGATCCCCAACCCCAGACTGCCTCCGCCTCAGGGGGAGAGGGCCTGGGTGGGTGCTGATGGGTAGCGTGTGTTTGATCACTACTTCCACCATGGAAAAAGCAGAGCACGCTCCACGCACCCTGGGTCAGGCTGACCCTGCCTTCGTTCCGGGTGCGTACCTCTGGGCAAGCAACAGCCACAGCAAGGAAGTTGTGCCCCCGTCTGGGAGAGGGACTCTGGCAGAAAAGGTACTAATGGTGTTTCTACGGCGCACTATGAAATTCACAAATCACCCCCACGAACGAAGGCTTTGTATGCTGTCTAACATGCCAACAACAGTGGTTGATTAAAGAACATCTGGTGAATGAGATAAAATAGAACTCCTTTACCAAACATGAATCACGCTCCGTCCAGTCATCTGGGGGGTATATATGTATATGTGTTTGTATGCATATATACACAATATATAACATAGGAAATAAATGCACACACAAACACACACACACAACACATAAGGAGGTTTTTGATGTTCCTCCAGGAGAGGGAATATAATAGGCACTCAGTATTTACCAAATAAATTCGTAAGAATCTGAATCGTCCAGTGTAATTTTGCTCCCAATTTTTAGAATTCAGAATCTACCTTGTTTTCTGGAAAAATGTAGGATATTTTCCTTAAGTCACATGTTCCAAGGGTAGAAAAATTCAGGTGGAAGACTTCTCCCCTCCAGTTTGCCTGGGAAGTACGCAGTGAGCCTTCAGCAGTAGGATCGATTAATGTTGTGATAATTGACATACAGCTTCCAGTTCTAATTAACTTAATTACCTTCAGACTTGCTTTTTTTTCCTACTTCTAAGCCATACAACACAGGTCTGTTCCAGTAACCATTCCCAAACAGGCAAGTTTACTTGTTTTCTTTCAGATAAACTTTATCATTTATTTACAGGTGGAACCTCATTGCCCACTCCGTGCACCCCACCCCCTCCACAACACACACATACCTCGAACCAAGTTCAAGTGGACTCTAGTAGGCTTCCAGATGGGTTCCACAGAGAACACTGACCACTCAGGGAACAAGCCCTCTTTTGTTGAAAACAAGGAAATGTTTTGTTTTTCAGCTGAATCGAAGATGCTCTATTAAATGTAAAGCGAAACTAGTTTTGAACTGGAGCAGAAAAAGAACTAATTCCTACAACCACTTTGGGAACAATATCTTCCGTTACATCCGGTTTTAAAATAGTCTAATCTGTCATCCATATTTTGCCACTAACTCAGCTGAATCTAAGTCATACAACTAGTTTCACTGTATAATAGATCTGATAAGAGAATCTTGAAAAATGCAGTAGGGACCCAATAGGTTAATGACAGTTTTCTGAGCCACTCTTGAGAAAGAGAAATCAGGATTTGGTGTGCCATGTTACCAAGAATGCCCAGAACAGATCTAAAGCTAAGCTCACCGGGTTGGTAGATGAGAGAGTGAGCTACCAAGTATTTCTTGGATGGCTCTGTGACACCATAGAGTCAGATGTGAAAGGGAAGGCTAAGAAACGCTAGCACGGTTAGCCTTAGGGAAGCTAATTTGTCAAGTTCCAAAGATGTATCCGTTAAGATGGTCCATGTTCTGTCTTTTGAGAAGAACCAGAGTAAAGTACGTGTCCTTGCCTTGGCATGATTTGTACTTGGTGGTTTTCCATTTCCAGATGATAGCAAGTTTTCAGAGGCTATCACAGTGCTACTCTCCTGGATTGAGCGAGGGGAAGTTAATCGGCGTTCTGCCAACCAGTTCTATTCCATGGTGCAGTCAGCCAATAGCCACGTCCGCCGGCTGATGAACGAAAAAGCCACCCATGAGCAGGAGATGGAAGAAGCCAAGGAGAATTTTAAAAATGCCTTAACTGGAATCCTCACCCAATGTAAGTAAAATTTGGGGGGCCATCTGTTTTGCTGTGGTTTTGCCTTTTCTTTTGTATTCATTTAGTTTTTGTTTTCATGTGGGGGTAAGTAGATCAATAATTTCCCATTTTACTCCATATCAAATGGCACACCTCATAACCGATTTCATGTTCTGTGGCAACTTGGAGGAACACGGACCCCGCCCTGAGAGCTTACTTCTCAAGGTGAGCAACATTTCTGTAGCTTTTCCTCAGAACACCAAACCCGGCCACCAGGGCAGGGCCCCAGATGCTTCTGTGCCTGCTGGACCCACCGCAGCTCACAGCACACCTGCAGGGTGGCCACCCTTTACCTGGGGGCCGTCCCCACAGACCTGTGTGTCCTCCCAGTGCTGGGACAGTAGGAAGCAGACCCCAAACACATTGTCCTTGAGCTCTGTTTAGGATGAAGGTATCATCAGAAAAACTCCTCCCCAGGATCCTTTATTTGAGGTGAGCTCTGGCTGTCGACATGGGCAACTCAGGAGTAGAGGAGGGTTTTCTGCAGTATTATTTTTTTGTCCTTTCTTCATCTGGAAAGCAGATTGCCTTAACCGCTTAATGCTGGTGATTTTTCATGTCCAGACCCTAAATTGATGAAGGGGTCTAAATGGGCTTGCTCATAGAACAATAGTCGGGGTAATTACCCAGGGCTCTATTCAAAAAAAAAGGGCGTATATTTTTTTTTATGGGTACTCTGTCTGTGTCTGTAGTTAACGTCACAGTGGCATAATGCATTACAGTTGCGGATGTTCCCCGGGTCGGTAAAAGCCACCGAATGACACTGTAACAATGCCGTGCTCCATCCCATACCAGGTGCAGGGTGCCATGTGGGACGGGGCTATACGCGATTTACATATTCATTCTGAGAATAAGTATTATTTTCAATGATATAACGTGCCAAAATGTCGAGCGCCTATTTCATCGGTGCAAACCCAAGGGATAATGTATCTGTTCGGATGAGAAGAGAGAGGGGCGTGAAAAACCAGGCTCTCGAGTGGAAAAGGGTTTTCTATGACTCTGTTGTCAGGCCTTTTTCGCGGCAGCATTAAAATACGTAAGAAACTCTCAAACGTGAACTCTGATAGGTGACCAAATATCCAGTGTGAGATCAACCCGGGACACCTGTCTTTACAGAAAAGGAATAGGAAAGAACAGAAGTGCTGTCTCCTCAGACCATTCTCAGACCACCTTCTCGTGATTCCTACTCTGAGGGATGACCCTTCTTCACGTGACCGTGTCTGTCCAGCAGTTCTGAAGTTAGGGTTACTAGGGATAGGATGAGAAACACTAATATCGATGCCCCCTTTAAAAGGAGGGCCATGCAGCATGGATTAGCAGGTGGAGGGGAGGTAAGGCTGGATTGGTAACAGAGAAAAGGAAGAGAGGGAAAGGCCACTCGACTCTTAAAAACACAGCCCCTGCAGAGTGATGGCAAACCAGGTGCCTGAACACTGGGATATTCCGGGTACCTCTTGCTCACCAGCATCAATTTCATAATATATTTTCGTTCCCGTGACTTCACTGTCCCACCTGGCAGGGAAGACTCAACCCTTGACTCCAACAGCGAAGGTAGGAAGGGAACCACGCATTAGAATAGGGAAGTTTCGTGTTCTTTGGCAATACCCGTGGGAAGAAGCATGTATTAAAAAGAGGCCCGGGGGCACCTGGGTGGCGCAGTCGGTTGAGCCTCCGACTTCAGCCAGGTCACGATCTTGCGGTCCGTGAGTTCGAGCCCCGCGTCAGGCTCTGGGCTGATGGCTCAGAGCCTGGAGCCTGTTTCTCGTGTGTCTCCCCTCTCTTCTGCCCTCCCCCTGCTCACTCTGCCCTCTCTGTCCCAATAAATAAACGTTGAAAAAAAAAAATTTAAAAAGAGGCCCAGATCCTGTGGCTGAAAAGAATGCTACACAGCCATCGCGTTTCACTAACATTGGTTCAGGTGAGCTGCCTATAAGAGATCCAAACATCAGCACTGTATTCCTGATAAATCGAGGCTGAATTGGACCATGAGGTTGAGGTCTGTTGCAACAATGCGCTTCCTACTGTGGGACCTCTGAACGAGCAAGCATCTGGCCACAAGCAGGCCTGAAGAACTCTTCCCACAACGCACAGCCAGGATGGGGAGGAGAGGGAGGAGGAGGGAAGTAAGGGGAGGGAGTGAGGGAGAAGAAGAAGAAGAGGCAGGAGGAGGAGAGGAGGGAAGAGGGGAAGGAAGAAGGAAGAGGAGGCTCACGTCTTTTTTGGCATATAGTAGTACAGTAGATAGTCTCAAATCACTTAAAGATAAAAAAGAAGGGGAAAGAAAAGAAAGAGGACAGGGTTGCACCTTCAGAGCGAGACAGCAAAACTTGCCCAAAGAACCCCAACAGCCTTCTGTTTCTGTCTCGTTGCAGAATTATTACGCGTGTTGGTGCCTAGCTACAAGGAAAATGGGAAATATGCTTTTCTGAAGGGACCCATTGCTCCCCAGAATAAAACCGGAGGTCTCAGAGTAAAGAGCGGGGGGGGGTTGGATGGCTGCCCAGAGGCATTTTGCAGTTCCTGCCATACGCGGCCCCTCCCGTCACACTTTTACTCCTGTCCGATCTGTTGTTCATACGTCGCCTAGTGGGATTCACATCATATCTCCCCACTTCAGCCCCTTGAGTAGCTTCCCATTGCACGAATAATATTCCCTCCGCAGCCCGCGGGCTCTCCACACCTGCCTCTTCAGCTCCGTCTTCCCTCGACTCTCCACGCGTCCTCCCCATGGGCCTCCCTCCTGCTGAGCCCTTCAGAAGCAACTCCCACCCCAGAGCCTTTGCACCTCTGTCCCTCTGTCTGACTTGCACTTCCCCCCACTCCACATGCATGAATCCTTCCCATCCTTTAGGTCTTGGCTGAGAGCCCACCCTTCGGAGAGGCCTTTCAACACACCCCCTCCCCCATAGGCTCACCACCCACTGCGAGTTCACGGTCCTCCAGAGCACTTAGCAAATGTGCAGCAGTGTGATAATTTGTCGGCTTTTGCTGATTAGTCTTCCACGCACCCCAAGTGTCTGGAACATAGGAACAGGATGATGAGTAAGTGAGTGCGTGAGTAATGGGAAGGGCAGGAGGAAGGAAGCCTGAAACCGTTCAGAAGTTCCCAGGGACCTTGGAGAGTAGTTTGGTATCGGTAGCAGCACAGTCCGGGGGTCCCGGGCCTCGACTCTGCAGGCGTAATCTCACAGATCGAGAAGCCCAGTAGCTGTGCTTTCGGCGGGAACTGCTGTACTTTACCGGACCCCCCGGAGCAGGCTGGGGGGGTATTTGCGTGGAAGAGTCAGCAGAAGAATTCATGTTGGCATTCCTCAGTCCTACCTGTCCCACAACCTGTCCGTGAGAGACACCCCCCTACCCTCAGCCCCGGACTTTAATTCTGGGGAAGTATTTCAGCAGCCAGCAGAGACTGGAAAGTCCCAGTGGACGCCACCAGCCCACAGTGCTGTCTCCGTGGTGCCCATCCCAGCCATGGCGGACCTGAGGGGCCTTCGCGGGCCCTGATGGCTGAGACCCGTCAGGACACCTTGAAGGTGAGAGAGAGCTAGAGGGGAGCCTGAGCTGGAATCAAGGCTCTAGGGTAGAACAGGAAGATTGCACGTCCCAGTGAACAGCCTCAGACTTTCCCACTCTTTCCCGTGTGCTTTTGCAAAGATGACTACTCCCCAGATGCACAGGGGAGCCGAAGCCTACCTGTCATCACGCAAATAGTAGCGGCAACGTGGCCAAGCTGCTAGGTGTGTGCCCATTTCATCACCCTCTGAAGGTTAAACACATCTCATTTCATGTCTGGGGCAGTTACGTTTGTCTCAACCACGTTTTCTCCACTTACCCCCACGCAGTTCGGCGTGGTGGGACGGGGTCGGTGTCCGTACAGGGGGCTGCTTCTGACATAATGACGGCGGAAGTCCACACGGACTGACACGCTTGCTTGCATTTTCCAAAAGCAGAACCAGCCATACTCCCGTTTACCTGCACGAATACTTCCGGAAAACACACCAGGAATCACATCCTGCCCTTCCCATTTCGAATTAGATCATGATTGTTTAGCCTTAAAATTCAGGAATGGCAGCTCAGTTTTCTTTCTCCCGAGTGGCTGGAAATCTAGTTGTTTGGCAGTTAGCATGAGTGCACCCTCCCATGTAAAAGATCTCCACGGTGCTGGCGCCCTTCTCCATGGCATTCCATGGTGGCCTTTCTGTTGGAAAGCCACGAGTGCCAGGAAATTGTTCTGAGGCCATAGGAAAAGCAGGTACATTGATGAACTGGCTTATCACAGCAGGTGGGGCTGGCCTGGTGTCCTGAAGGGAGGGCTCATTTAACAACTTCCGGGAAGTTCAGGCACATTTCTGCAAAGCTCCAAGCATGGCAAAAGGTTGGCTCCCTGCATAGATTTTACTGGAAATAGGAGAAGGAAAATTTCATTAAGTGTTAGTCCTTTAAACTGGATAAGAGGCACCCATCTCCTCACTTTGCTAGTCATACTTTCCTGGCTTTTGTATTTGAGCAGGTAGCATTTGCTCAAAAGGGGAAAAGAAATCAAGAGCCACGAAGAATAACATAAAGAGAAAGTTGTGATTTATTTCAAGATTTACATCGAGGTCCGGGAGTTACCTCCTAGCCCTGTTGGTTTTCCGTTATGTGGACATTTGTTCAGGTTCTCACCTCACTCCTATCTCTGGCCTTCACCCCAGGACCAGCTATTAAATCTAATCCAGTAGGCATTGTTTCCATCCGAACCTTGGCTTCAGGCCTCAAGGGGCAGCACCTGACGCAACCAAGAGTTTGGGGAGTTCAGCATCCATTCACTTTCGTTTGGGATCCTTTTTCACTTCTGACCATGGATGTGCAGTTACGAAAGATGTTAGTTGAGGATGCCATCTATCCCAGTGTGGCAGCTGGGGCTCTCTCGTCTTTTCCGGGCCAGCTGGATAGATCTCATCTGCTGGATATAGAAACAA